ATATATATATAATTATTCATATACATAATAACAATTTTTTCTTTTACAATTTAATTGTAAAATCAATCTCCCAATAATATAAAAATTTTAATTACAATATCACTGCAACAAAATTTGTATAATTAACATAAAAAAATAATAAAAATAAAATTACCAACTTAATTTACAATTATAAAGAAATTATATTGTTATTTATATATAATATTGTTATTTAGAATCAAAACAAAAATTACTACACTATACTATCTCAATTAAAATAAAATAATATAAACTTGTTTGAAAATAAATAGTATAAGAAATATTTACCAAATCATTAATAAAATAATTTCTTTTAATTAGTTTTCTTTTCTATTTCAAATACTATCTTCAAATAATAATCAAATATTGAATAAAGATCATTCATATTTAAATTATTTATATTTTGCTTAAGATTGCCCTTCGTATTATTTTGAGCCCTATCTCTATTTTTTTTTTTCAACTTGCACGTATCGGTTACATCCTATTATTACGTTTAGATCTTCCCTATAATGACATAGTGTGAAGATCATATAAATGAAAACCTTCAACATCAAAAGTTTATATTGTTTGTATCAAAAAATTATTTTTATCTATTGTAGGCTCCCAATTCAAAAATTCTTATTTCAATTCTGTTGAAATATTTTAGATATTCAGTTTTAGATTTATATCTAGATTTGATCTTATTCATTGATTAGATTACTTAGATTTGAGTCTATCGAGTTTGTTTTGTATTGCCTATATATAGGCTCTTTATTTTGTTGATCAATAAGACGATCTCATTATTTTTCCCCAAAATTTCTAACATGGTATCAAAACATATTTTTCTCATGCCGTAGATATAGTCTTCCAACTCGCGTTTCTCCGGGTACATTCAACATGGGATGTACCCGGAGGTCCCCCAATTTTGAAATTTTTTTCTATAGTTTCTAGTCTTTTCTTTTTCTAATTTTGATTTTATCTTAAGTCCTAATTTTGTCTACGATTGAAGTCATGTCTGCGCATCTGTCTGATTCTGCAATCCATCTACTGCTTTTCTCCACAATCATAATTCTGATTGCAATAAAAATCCTGTTATTTCCGATTTTGTGGAGAGTACTCCCGTCATTTTCGACTCCAATAGAGAGTCATGTCGTTTTCGGCTCCGGTGGAGTCATCTCGTTTTGGGCTCCGGTGGAGTCATGTCGTTTTATGCTCCGATGGAATCATCTCGTTTTCGGCTCCGGTGGAGTCATGTCGTTTTCGGCTCTAGTGGAGAGTCATCTTGTTTTCGGCTTTGGTGGAGAGTCATATCATTTTCAGCTCCGGTGGATTCATATCGTTTTCGGCTCCAGTAGAGTCATCTCGTTTTTGGCTCCGGTGAAGTGATCTCGTTTTAGGCTCCGGTGGAGTCATCTCATTTACAGCTTTGGTGGAGTCATGTCGTTTTCGGCTCCAGTGGAGTCATGTCGTTTTTTGCTCCGGTGGAGTCATCTCGTTTTCGGCCATCTCATTTTCGTCTCCGGTGGAGTCATGTGGTTTTCGGCTCCGGTGGAGTCATCTCGTTTTCGGCGGCTCCGGTGGAGTCATGTCGTTTTCGGTTCCGGTGGAGTCATCTCGTTTTCGGCGGCTCCGGTGGAGTCATGTCGTTTTCGGCTCCGGTGGAGTCATCTCGTTTTCACCTCCGGTGGAGTCATCTCGTTTTCACCTCCGGTGGAATCATCTCGTTTTCAGCTCTGGTGGAATCATCTCGTTTTCGACTCCCGTGGAGAGTCATCTCGTGTTCGGCTTCGGTGGAGTCACATCGTTTTCGACTCCGGTGGAAAGTCATCTCGTTTTCGACTCCAGTGGAGAGTCATCTCATTTTTTGCTTCGGTGGGTGGAGAGTCAGCTGCTAATTTTATTTATGTTTCCTTTTTGCGTTTATATTCAAATTTCATATCAAACTCAAGTTGGTTTCTATTATACCACTTGAGTTTGACGGGGATGTTGAGATATTTTAGATATTCAGTTTTAGATTTAGTAAATTTATATTTAGATTTGATCTTATTCATAGATTAGATTACTTAAATTTGAGTCTATCGAGTCTGTTTTGTATTGCCTATATATAGGCTCCTTATTTTGTTGATCAATAAGGCAATCTCATTATTTTCTCCCAAAATTTCTAACAAATTCCATCAAATTTTTCTAAAAAGAGTTCATTTTTGAGGATTATCCATAGTTATATAGGCACATTCTTGAAAATATTTTTCAATTTGTTGAAATTTTTTGAACTATTCTATCATATGTGGATATCCGAAAATGTCTCATTTGCACACATTTTCTCCATCTATTTAAAATGTATATTCCTTTAATAAATTGTATGTCCTTCAACGTAATCATATTGGTGTGTTTGTTTGGGGATTGGATTTTAAGTTGAGATTTGAATAGTAAAAATTTAAATTTGAATAGTTGTATAATGGATATAAATAGGTGTTGATGTAATGTTTTGAATATAAAATTGATTTTTAATATAATATAAAAAATGAAAAATAGGTGTTTGATTTGATTTTTTGCGGAAAAAAATGGGATGAATAGTGGATTCAAAATCCAATCCCCCAAACAAATATATTTAAAAAACTATTCCCTTAAAAAAATATATATATTTTTCATCCGGATTGTACTTAACTTTATAAGTGAATTCCTTCACCAAGAAATCATTTCGAAGTCTTTTCTCCATTAAAAAAACTCTCGATTCCAACTTCAACAACATTATTTTGAGGTCTTGAATAATATTTGCATTTGGTCAATTTCTTCTTGAGTTTTTCCAAATATGATATTTGTGTAAATTTTTTGGAATTGACCTTCTTATGAAAATTCAATTTTCTTTGCTTTGATATTTGTATTTGAATCAAAGTCGGACATAAATTCTTTTTGAATCTTCTTGCCAACTACCACTTTGTATTGTTCCATGAATTCTTTCGGTGTCCATCTTGAGTGAATATAATCATCAAAATATATGTACATTTCTTCACTTTTTTTTTTTCATTGAAATTATACGAGTCCAAAACATGTGATTCAAGTAAATGTTTATAAATCTCAATCTCAATCTTTGTTTTCCAACTTATATTTGACTGAAAATTCAGTCTAGTTGCTCTCAAAATTAGAAATCGTACTATTACTATTTCTTTGAATTAGACAATTACCTTATTATACTTTTGAATATCTTTAAACTTCAAAGTAATTTTTCACAAACATAAATATATTATTACTTTTTTCTATATCATTACAAATAACTTGTTTTTATTTTTATTTTCATATTATTTTATGCCCTAATAATTTTTTATATCTTGGGCAGCAGTTGAAAACAATTTTTTCCATTTCTTAAACTTTCTTATATTTTATTATTTCCTTTCTTTCTCCTAGAAAGGCTAAACAAATCCAATTCTTCATGAGACAAACTCAACTTGGCTCGTTAATAGTTCGATTCAATTTGTTTATAATGATAAATGAGTTGAGCTCGAGCTTGACTCGCAGATATTTATATTGAGTTTGCTAGTAATAATATATTGATATTATTTTATATTTTCTTTGTCCACAAAATTTATTTTCATTTTTCTTTTTTATTCGACCCAGAGGTCTTGTGATTTTGAAATCATATTATCTGTCTGTTGTCTGCGTGCAATATGAAATCTATCTGCTATTTGTCATCTGTCATGTGTGTTGTCTGTGTGCGATCCGAATCTATATGCTCTATGTCTGTTGCCTGTTGCAATATGAAACATGTTTCTCTGCGTGCGATCTGAAATCTATATGCTATATGTCGGTTGCCCAGATCTGTGCAATGAAACATGTCTGTCTGTTGCCTACGTGCAATATGAAAGTGTCTGCGATCTTCTATCTGTCCACTGTCTGCTACCTGCATGCTAAACCTGGATAAGGTGGATAAATATATATGGTCCTAAAATGTGACATGATGAGATATGCGCAGCCGATTAACGATATGATCCCAACATCTATAACCCTTCTGTTCGACGCCATAACCCAAAAAACAACATAAATGAGCTCGAGGTTGAAGCTTTGTCCGCTCATGGTGAGAGAGGAGGACAAAGACCACACAACCAAATGGATGGAACTAACTATAGTAAGAAAAAAAAAATCTATAATAGGGGGATTGACCAAATAGAGGTTCGAAGGAACTGACATTATGGAGGACTAACGAGGGTAATCGATTAATACCTTCTCCCCAAAAACAATCAGGACACTTACTTGAAAGAAGGAGGACACGGACAGTATCGAGAATGTTGCTCCGACTTGTTCTACAAGATATCAGCCTTCATTCAACATTTATTTAAAACAAATATCATACATTGATTACACTATCTCTCTTCATTCTATTTAATTATTAAATAAATTTTCAAAAATATTCTCAACTATTTTTTTAATAAAATATTTTTTTTTCTCAATATCTATGCAGAGTCTAAATAGATTAAATATTACGGACATTAGTGAGTATATTAATAAAATATATACTATAATTTTTTTATATCAAAATTTATATTTATTAATAAAACTTTATTATAAAAATATTAGGAATAAAATTAAATATATTTAATTTATATATTAAAATATATATATAGAACATATATAACAAATTTGAACTAAACTCGAATTCGAATTCAAACTTGACGAGTCAAGGTCGCTCCACTGCATTAGGTTTAATTTTTAATATATTAAGCCAAATTTGTATTGCTAACAAGAGCTCGAATAACATATATTTGAGCTAGTTTGATTTGTCTAACAGCTCTAATTAATTTTTTATTTTTTTATATATTTTTTCAAAAAATATGTATATATTTCGGTTCAAACAATCAAACTTAAAATGGAGCGGTTTACGAAACCGAAATCGAATTGTGTAAAAATTGGTTTCGATGGCGGCGCCGGTTTGAAACATGCGAACCGCCGGTTTGAAACCGGTCGGGCAACCCTAGTTATATAGAATGAATTGAAAGCCATTCTTCGTCTTCCTCTTCCTCGGTTGCTCAGCGGTGCGCTCCATCTCTGCTTTCTTCTTCTTCTTTGCTGTCGACATTTTCTCAACATTTGGGGATTTATTTTTTTCTTTCTCACAAACTCTAGCCTTGTATTTTTCAGCCGAAACTCAGGCGTATGCGAGATAGTTATGGAGTGGAATCCGGAAACCCTACAATTTCTTTCCCAATGCTTCCTCAACACCCTGTCTCCACTTCCCGAGCCCCGTCGGAAAGCGGAGGCGGCTCTGGCGGAGGCCGCCGGTCGACCTAACTACGGTCTGGCTGTTCTACGTCTTGTTGCCGAGCCCTCCGTCGACGAGCAGATCCGTCAATCTGCGGCTGTAAACTTTAAAAACCATCTCAAAGTTCATTGGGCCCTGCAACCCGACGACCCAGAGAAACTTGTAGTGCCGGACCAGGAAAAGGAGCAGATTAAGGCTCTGATTGTCACTTTGATGGTGAACGCTTCGCCGAAAATTCAAGCTCAGGTTAGTGAGGCTTTGACTATTATTGGAAAGCATGATTTCCCCAAGGCATGGCCAAGTTTGCTACCGGAATTAGTGGTGACTTTGGATAAATTGAGTCAGGGAAATGACTATGTTTCGGTGAATGGGGTTTTGGCTACTATCAACTCATTGTTTAAGAAATTTAGGTACCAGTTCAAGACAAATGAATTGTTGCTTGATTTGAAATATTGTCTGGATAACTTTGCGAAGCCATTGTTGGAAGTGTTTAAAAGGACTGCAGGGTATATGGATCATGTTGTGTCGTCTGCAGGCTCAAATCCTAGTGTTTTGAAGGGTTATATAGAGTCACAGAGGCTTTGCTGCAGGATTTTCTATTCACTCAACTTTATGGAGCTACCGGAGTTTTTTGAGGATCATATGGACGAATGGATGATTGAGTTCAAAAAATATTTGACAGTAAAGTACCCTGCTTTGGAAGCTAGCGGGAAGGAAGGGCTTGCTTTGGTAGATGAGTTGAGAGCTGCTGTCTGTGAGAATATTAGCCTGTACATGGAGAAGGAGGAGGAGATATTTCAAAAATATCTCAGTGGATTTGTGGACGCGGTATGGGGGCTTTTGGTTGAAGCTTCAAATTCTTCCAGCCGGGAGAAACTGACTGTGACTGCTATTAAGTTCTTGACCACAGTTAGCACGAGCGTTCATCATACATTGTTTTCAGGAGATAATATCTTGCCCCAGATTTGCCAGAGTGTTGTGATTCCGAATGTGATGTTGAGGGATGAGGATGAGGAGCTTTTTGAGATGAATTATGTGGAGTTCATTAGGAGAGACATGGAAGGTAGTGACCTTGACACAAGGAGGAGGATTGCTTGTGAGCTGCTCAAAGGAATTGCTTTGAATTACAAGGAGAAGGTGACTGGGAATGTTTCTTCCGAGGTACAGAAACTTTTGGCAACATTTTCAGAGAATCCATCTGTAAATTGGAAGCAAAAAGACTGTGCTATTTATTTGGTTGTCTCCCTTGCCACAAAGAAAGCTGGCGGAAATTCTGTTTCTACTGATCTTGTTGATGTCGAAAGCTTTTTTGGGTCTGTTATTGTGCCAGAACTGCGAAGTCAAGATGTGGATGGATTTCCTATGTTAAAAGCTGGGGCCTTGAAGTTCTTCACCATGTTCAAGAATCAGATATCGAAGCCTGTTGCACTGGCGTTGCTTCCTGATGTGGTTCGCTTACTTGTCTCTGAGTCAAATGTGGTCCATTCATATGCTGCTACCTGTATTGAAAAGCTTTTGCTGGTGAAAGATGGGAGTATGGCTAGATATTCAGCTGCTGATATCAGCCCATTTCTGCTTCCATTAATGACCAACCTGTTTGCAGCCCTGCAGAAGCCAGAATCTGAAGAGAATCAATACGTGATGAAGTGCATCATGCGGGTTCTTGGAGTTGCTAATGTTTCACGTGATGTTGCTTTACCTTGCATCAATGGTCTAGCAAGTTTCCTAAACAGGGTCTGTGAAAACCCCAAGAATCCAATCTTTAACCACTATCTGTTTGAATCGGTGGCTCTTTTAATCAAGCGAGCTTGTGAGCAAGACCCCTCCATCATTTCTGATCTTGAAACGAGTCTGCTGCCCAGTGTGCAGGTGATCTTATCCAGAGATATTACTGAGTTTTTCCCATATGCCTTCCAGCTGCTGGCCCAGCTTGTTGATTTAAATGTAACTCCTTTACCGGGGAAGTATATGGACGTTTTTGCATTACTGCTTTTGCCTGAATCATGGAAGAAGTCGGCAAATGTTCCTGCCCTAGTGCGCTTGCTCCAGGCTTTCCTTAGAAAGGCACCATATGAACTAAACCAGCAGGGGCGATTATCTAGTGTCCTTGGAATATTTAATACTCTAGTTTCCTCTCCCAGTACTGATGAACAAGGATTCTATGTGCTCAACACTGTGATCGATAACCTTGGGTACGATGTACTCACTCCCTACATTAGCCATATTTGGGTTGCATTATTTAACCGACTGCAGCAGGTCAACAGAACTGTGAAATTTATCAAATCTCTTGTTATATTTATGTCACTTTTTCTGGTGAAGCATGGCCCTGAAAAACTTGTTGGCTCCATGAATGCTGTTCAGCCTGATGTATTTCGGGCAATATTAGAGCAGTTTTGGATTCCTAATCTTAAGCTGATTGTTGGCTCAATGGAGCTCAAGTTAACAGCTGTGGCTTCTACTAGACTACTGTGTGAATCTTTGTCACCATCAGATTCGAGGCTTTGGGGAAAAATGCTTGACAGCATTGTTACCCTTATTTCACGGCCAGAGGAGGACAGAGTGGAAGAAGAGCCTGAGATTCCTGATTTCGGTGAAACTGTTGGTTACAATGCCACATTTGTTCATCTATACAATGCTGGAAGGAAAGAGGAAGACCCCCTACCAGACATTAAAGATCCCAAGCAATATCTGGTTGCATCTTTGGCAAATCTTTCTGCTCGTTCACCTGGAACATATCCGTCAATTATTAACCAAAATCTTGATGCGGCAAATCAGGCTGCTTTACTACAGCTTTGCAACTTGCACAGCGTCACAATTGTTTGAGGCAGATACTATCCTGGTAAGTTTATCTTCTTTTGTGCTGATGTGGGGTGTGTATCATGTTAGTGCTTGTGCTAAGATTGCAATCTGATGTTTTGAATAGTTCTTTCTTCTGCATATGTGAACAAAGAAAAGTAGTCTGAGTGTTGTGGTACCCGTCAGGTTTGGATTCCAAACCATATGTTTCTGGTAATAAAAAATGCATTGACATGTGAACGTTATGAAATCAAGTAATTTTTCCATGGATTCTCTTTATCTTGACATCTCTGGTAATAAAGAATGCACTGACATGTGAACGTTATGAAATCTATTAATTTCCACTGATTCTCTTTAGCTTGTGGTGTCATACATTCCGAATGCCAATGTTACCTTTGTTCCATGTTGCCCTTATGAATAATGATATCATGTGTATGCTTTAATAACTGAAGGTTCAGAAAGGATTATATTATTTATCATAATATGAAGGGAGTTCCCTTTAATAGATAGCTACCCACTCCTTAGTGCAGTAACGATTTGGAAAACCTGAAAATGCTTGTGTCGGGTCTGATCGTGAAGATTTTTCCTCAAATGAATAGATACCCTGCATCATCACAATCGATATGCTGTAGTTCATATGGAATGTCGATGATAACTTGTTTTGTTCAGGTTAATTGATTTGAAGTTAATGGCTAATGTGGATCTTTATGTTCCTGTCTTTTCCTTTATATCATTTATTGACAATATATTTCTGCCCACACTCTTGAAAGAAACAAAAAATTATATGAAGTCAATTCGAGTTAAAAGCCCTAGAAAGCCACAAGGAAATATATAAATACCGGCTAGACCAATTTTCTTCCATCCAAATTGTTCTTCTCTGTTCTTAAAATTTTATTTTTCATAATCTGAAATTTTGAAGCTCACAGTGAAGTTATTTGTGTTCTGTCACACCATGTTATGGAATCAAGGAATTGCTGCAAATAACAGGCCGATCACTCTGTGGCGGCCATTCTCTAGATGTTTTTGGTTGATTGATTGATTGATTAATGATGATGATGATGGTGATTATTATAATTATTACTTTTGTATCAGATCTTAATTGTCGTTAACTCAGTCCTTTTCTGATCGTTCCTGGGTATCCTCATACAATGCAAGCCTTTTAATTTCGAGCCTGCTTGTTGGTTTAGGTGTGGTTATTTGCATTCTCTTGATTGATGATAGAGAGTTGATGTCGTTATAACATGTACCCTTTGTGGTGATACTTTCACGGCTATTCATCGATAACTATTGAACTACTGTATTGTGCATTTCTGAGTTCTGCCTTTGGTTTGTTTTCAGGAGTGACGTGGAAATGATGAGAACTTGATGGTTTTCCAGATGTAGTTCCCAGCGTCTGGTCGTTTGTCAACTGCCCGTTGTTCTTGTGTTGTGGTGAATGGTCAGTCAGATTAAGGAAATCAATGGATACTTGATAAGTTTCAGGTTGGGTCAAGTCAGGTCCATCGGTTTGTACTGAGGTTATGTTGGTGGAAATAGAGTTTGTTTTTGAGGATAATTTGGTTTGGGAACAAGTTTTTTGTCACGTGATTGAGTGTCGTGAACGATTTGCATGTTTGGGAGGCCATAACTTACAAACACCATTCGCTCATTTGGTTTTTGTTTTGGTTGCGGTCACATATATCTTACTATTTTTGCGACGGAAGAGTTTGGTTACTAATGCTGTTCTATGCGTTGTGATGATGCATGTGAACGGTGGTGTTGTTTTTCAGCTACTTGCTCGTGTTGTTGTGCGGCTGCAGTTCCCAAGTCATCAAAAAAAATACTGGTGTGTTTATTTGTAAGATTTGATTTTAGATTTTACTATTTCGATTTTTTTTCTCCCAAAAAGATCGATTCAATCACCTATTTTTTATTTATTATACTCTTTCTGTCCAACTAGAAAATATATATATTTTTATTTTGGGACGCAAAGTAAACATTTCATTAAATATCCTATTTTTTTTCACAAATACTCCTGTTTTACAAATGTATACATTGTAAGTGGACGGGAGGGAATATTGCACTAAAATTAATTTTTACATTTCAAAATTTTAGTATTTAAAACCAAAAACAAAATTTTACAAGCAAACACACTCATGTTTCTGTTGCAAATAACAAGACATTTGACATTTACATTGAGAGAGGAACAAGTGAAGTGATGATGGATGGTTATCTATGGAGCAGTGCTTTATGAATTTGATACAATATGAAAGGTGATTTATTATTACAAGTATTTTACATGCAGTATTGGTTGACCCTTTTAGGCTGTTTTTGTGAATTTCATCACATTACTACTGATTGACGATTCTTAAAAATTGAATTTTATTTTTTTGTGATTAATTTGAATTAGGGCAATTTCAAAACCTGTGATTAATCTCAATAATATTGAAGGTTTATTTATTTATTTATTTAATCACCGTATTGTTCTTATTAGAATGAAATATTGAAAAATTAAAATGTATTACGAATGTTTTGGTGTGGAAGTTGGCGCCATAAAACAGAATATTTGTTGGATTTAAAAAGTAGTGTATGGTTGCGTTTGTTTGTTGAATTTCAGTATTGAAAAGTAAAATGTGAATTGAAATAATTGTTTGATATAACATAAATATATATATGTATTCATACGATGTTTTAATACTAAAATTAAATTTTAACTCAATATAATAAAATTTTGGTATTTGATTTAATATTTTACTTTTATTTTTTTTAGAAAAATATCTTATGAAATTGTAAAATCAATGCAAAATTTTACAAACAAACACAATATATATATTTGGCGCCACTTTCGGCGTAAAATTGTTTCTTTTTTAAAATTTTTTCCCATATTCTATCGTGGTGCTACGTTCGGGGATTCAATTATTTTTGTTCTTGCTAATGGCACGATAGTGGCACCATGAATTTTTATTTTTGGTCTGGCTATCCGATACTAAGGAAATTGAAATTGTAATTATGAGTGTGGTTGGTTAAGAGTTGAATTTGTAGTTGAAATAATAGCGACTGATAGGACCGAGCCCTACATTATAAGAGCGACTTCAAAGTTAATATGATTAGAATTTTGCCTCGAGAATTTGAGGCCAATATACGGCCCAGCAGCTCGTCAATTCATTATCAATGACGACATGATTCTCCAGGTTCTGAAAGCAAGAGCGGACAAGTTCAATTGTCCATTCACACATGCCGGAGCTCATGCCGTTCGCCTTCCCGATGGGCAGGCAGGGGCACTTCATCAACAACCATTTTTGGAGCAAAGTAAAAATGAGATTTGCTCCCCGATCCGACGAGCTACCCCACCGTTTGAAGCGCAAGACCCGCTGAATGAGGTCAATTTGGGGATGAGGTTGCCCTCGGATCACGCAGATCAGGATCCTGATGAGTGCGAAAAAGCGGGAAAAAATGGTCACCTTGATTCAGGAGCTCAAAGATTATTTTGCACAGGACCACAACGAGATGCCGGAGTTTCAAAAAACCTGGTGGAGCATCGCCCGCCTACGAAGGGGTCATATTAACCCTATAAACAACCCCCAAGGCGCCTTAATCCATATATAGTTAACGAGAAGGCCGAATCAACCTTCCAAAAATATGTACGGCCCTAGACATTCTAGGAAGACGATATGGTTTGGATGATCGTTCTTCCGGAAGGTCCCAAAGACGTGAGGCTCGATAAGTGACTCCCAACATAAGATAGACCATTCATCACATTAGCCAAGTCATCTAGCGGAATTGGAAGAATGATGTGGGGACAACTGAATAGGAAAAAGAGACAGGTCTGTAATCCTTCAACATCTCATTTCCGAGCTCTGGTAGAATGATAAAGTGACGGAAGCTGATTGGTTTGTTCTTATGAATAGTCCTACGTAAAGGGTCAAACGGATGGTAGATAAGGTTGCATGCAGAGACATCCACGGGCCTATGGGAAGCCATAGGCTAACTCTTAGACACTAAATGCAAGTGAACGGCTCCAATCAGGGACAACCTTCGTAAGAAGGTTTTGTGACTAACAACAAAATGATTCATCAAAGCATAGAACATTAGTTACTTAAAAAATTATTAGGATTACAGATTTATTTTTTTCCAGATAATTTTGTAGGGACATTTGTAATTCATCGAAAAGAAAAAAACCTAGATCATCAGTTGGCTCAACGTAGATCTTGCAACCAAAGGTTCAAAATTAGCATATCTTTTCACCTTCTCGTGTCGGCCCAATTTTGCAACAACCCATAAGAGCAAGTCAAGGTGGGGACTTGATAAAAAAAAAGGTGACGTGAGTGACTGTTTGTAAAAGGAAAGTTAGGTCTCAAAGTCAGTCCAAGGTAGATTTTGCAGCCAAAAGCCCAAAGCCAGCAACTCCATAGCCCAACAGCTTACCTAACCCACTGATCAAGCCGGCTCAATCTTGTAGCAGCCCATAGGAGTAAATCCAAATGTAGATTTGATAGGTCATGTAGAAGCTGTTTTGGGGTAGAAAGTGAGATTTTTATAGAAAAAATTTAAGAAAGAGAAATATTTATCCAAAAAAAAAAAAATTGGAATGTCACATATATGTAGATAAACTCTAGGAAAGAATAAATATTCATCAAAGATGAAAATCCAAATATAAATGAAAGGTGGGATATTTGTGAAGAAGGTCGAGAAAGATAGAATTTATTCAAAAAGAAAGTTTTATCCAAATTATGGATTGACATATAGGACATGCATATTGAATACAAATGACATTCCAAACTACATTCAAAATATCTAAACAATATTGTTCATCATTTTTACACATAATTTTCTTTCAATATTTTTTTTCTTCCATTTTTTTTAGCACTATACAGTTGCATTTTTTTAATGAAATTTCAATTTTTTTTTTCCAATTTATCATACTTTTAAATTTGAATTTCAGCCTTCTCACCATATTGATTACTCGAATACCGGGAGATAGTCCAGATCTTTTTTGAAAAAGGCGAGGAACCTTCAAACAAATCAATTCTGACTAGCCTTCTTAGGTAGACCGTCGGTGGCATTTTTTTACGATAACAAAAATCAAATCGGGTTAAGAATTTTATTATATTTTAATAAATTTCAATTACTAATAAAAATTCCAATTTTTTCTTTTTTGTTTTACACATTAGTGAACCAGTGGTGTGTTTGTTTAGTTGTTGTTTTAGATGTGAAGTTTGGAGAGATTGTTATCTTTTGCTATCAGACATGAGGAGAGGATGTATTGATAATATAAAATTAATATTTTATATAAAATAATCGACTACTTTGATTTTTTTTATTTTATTTTTATGTATGCATTGATAATATAAAATTAATATTTTATATAAAATAATCGACTACTTTGATTTTTTTAATTTTATTTTTGTGTATGCGTTGTATTATTTTTTTCTAATATTTATTGAGAATCGAATTTAGTGTCTTTGACTTTGTTATAAATTTATATTGGACTCGATGAGTTTTTCGAACAAACTTTACAAACAACACTACAAGAAATTATCAATTTTGTAACGAGATTTTTTCGTTATTAAATTCACTTTTTCTGTTACTAATGATATTAGAGACGGAATTAGAGATTGAATTATGTTAGCTACGTGAACTTTAGCAACGAAATTCTGTTACAAATATACTAATTTTTTTGTAGTGCAAATACTAATAAATTAACAAAAAATTTTTTTTGAATAAACCCAAATTTAAAACATAAAACGAAACGAAATTGAAATTAACATATTAAACTAAACTAAGGCTAAACAATATTTAAAACTGGAGAAATTAAAAAGTTAATAAGGTTTGAACCACTAATTACCTAACAAACCCTTAACAAACAAATTAATCAATGGGCTAAGAGTAAAGGTGATATGGTTTTTTGACTATAATGAGTGAACCAATTTAATTAATATTATCGAAGTATGAATTGAGTTATGTTACTAAGGGTCAAAATTCTTAATTATTTCATCTATTTTGACCGTGATTGAATATTCAACTTTCAATTATATATACAAACTTACCTACACTGATGAGTTTTATTATCACCTTTTGTTCATTACTGCATCAACGAACAAATATTAATACAAATTAAACATAACACACGAAGACATATAAGCCCTAACATGCACCTAAATTGAACACATGTCGATCTACCACATAGTATATACACAACTACTACAAAACACACACATAAACAAGATTAAACAAATTCAACGCATGAATATATAGATTTTAAACGAGCACATAAGCTACTACACAATTCAATAATATATGCATATTCACAAAAGAAAGCAATTACATGCCTAATACAAAGTTTAAAATTACACAACATGAACTCCATTTTATTTGACGTCAAGTAAAAAACACACAATCTAAGCACTCAGCACAACTTAGACACAAAACTCTACAATTCAAACACGCAATTCTATAGGCTAAGAACAAAGTTCTACAACCTAAGCACGTGAATCGATCGACCCTACCACAAAAATCTCCGGAGACAAAACAATACAAGACATCCTACCCTTGCACAAAACATATAGTTTGATCGAATACTAACACAAAGAATATTCGAAAACA